GGAATGATTGAAACGAAAAGTAGAAAGACGTGGAATGATTGAGACGAAAGAAATACAGAGACAAGGAATGATTAAAACGAAAAAAATAGAAAAGGGAAATGATTGGAATGATTGAAACGAAAAAAAAAAAAAGAGACGTGGAATGATTAAAACGAAAAGGGAAATTAAACGAAAAGTAGAAAGACGTGGAATGATTAAAAACGAAAAAAATAGAGAAAAAATGATTAAAATGAAAAAAATTGAAAAGGGAATGATTGAAACGAAAAGTAGAAAGACGTGGAATGATTGAAACGAAAGAAATACAGAGACTAGGAATGATTAAAAACGAAAAAAAGAAAAAAGGGAATGATTGAAACGAAAAAGTAGAAAGACGTGGAATGATTGAGACGAAAGAAATACAGAGACAAGGAATGATTAAAACGAAAAAATAGAGAAAAGGGAATGATTGAAACGAAAAAGTAGAAAGACGTGGAATGATTGAGACGATTAAGAAAGAAATACAGAGACAAGGAATGATTAAAACGAAAAAAATAGAAAAAAAAAAATGATTGAAACGAAAAAAAAGTAGAAAGACGTGGAATGATTGAGACGAAAGAAATACAGAGACAAGGAATGATAAAAACGAAAAAAATAGAGAAAAAGGGAAAGATTGAAACGAAAAAGTAGAAAGACGTGGAATGATTGAGACGAAAGAAATACAGAGACAAGGAATGATAAAAAACGAAAAAATAGAAAAAAGGAATGATTGAAACGAAAAAAGTAGAAAGACGTGGAATGATTGAGACGAAAGAAATACAGAGACAAGGAATGATTAAAACGAAAAAAAAAGAGAAAAGGGAATGATTGAAAAAAAGTAGAAAAAGGGAATGATTGAGACGAAAGAAAACAGAGACAAGGAAAATTAAAAACGAAAAAAAAGAAAAGGGGAATGATTGAAACGAAAAGTAGAAAGACGTGGAATGATTGAGACAGAAAGAAATACAGAGACAAGGAATGATTAAAACGAGAAAAAAAATAGACGAAAAAAGAAAACGTGGAATGATTGAAACGAAAAAATACAGAGACTAGGAAATTAAAAACGAAAAAAGAGAAAAAAGGGAATGATTGAAACGAAAAAGAAATACGTGGAAGAGAGAGGAATGATTAAAATGATTAAAAAAAAAAAGAAAAAGGGAATGATTGAAACGAAAAAAAGTAGAAAGACGTGGAATGATTGAAACGAAAGAAATACAGAGACAAGGAATGATTAAAAACGAAAAAATAGAGAAAAAAAGGGAATGATTGAAACGAAAAAGTAGAAAAGACGTGGAATGATTGAGACGAAAAGAAATACAGAGACAAGGAATGATTAAAACGAAAAAAAAAGAGAAAAAGGGAATGATTGAAACGAAAAGTAGAAAGACGGAAATGATTGAAACGAAAGAAATACAGAGACAAGGAATGATTAAAACGAAAAAAAATAGAGAAAAGGGAATGATTGAAACGAAAAGTAGAAAGACGTGGAATGATTGAAACGAAAGAAATACAGAGACTAGGAATGATTAAAAACGAAAAAAAAATAGAGAAAAAGGGAATGATTGAAACGAAAAAGTAGAAAGACGTGGAATGATTGAGACGAAAGAAATACAGAGACAAGGAATGATTAAAACGAAAAAATAGAGAAAAGGGAATGATTGAAACGAAAAAGTAGAAAAGACGTGGAATGATTGAAACGAAAGAAATACAGAGACAAGGAATGATTAAAACGAAAAAATAGAGAAAAAGGGAATGATTGAAACGAAAAAGTAGAAAGACGTGGAATGATTGAGACGAAAGAAATACAGAGACAAGGAAATTAAAACGAAAAAATAGAGAAAAAGGGAATGATTGAAACGAAAAAAAGTAGAAAGACGTGGAATGATTGAAACGAAAGAAATACAGAGACTAGGAATGATTAAAACGAAAAAAATAGAGAAAAAAAGGGAATGATTGAAACGAAAAGTAGAAAGACGTGGAATGATTGAGACGAAAGACAGAGACAAGGAATGATTAAAACGAAAAAAATAGAAAAGGAATGATTGAAACGAAAAAGTAGAAAACGTGGAATGATTGAAACGAAAGAAATAAAAATAGAATGATAAAAAAAAAAAGAGAAAAAGGGAATGATTGAAACGAAAAGTAGAAAGACGTGGAATGATTGAAACGAAAGAAATACAGAGACAAGGAATGATTAAAACGAAAAAATAGAGAAAAGGGAATGATTGAAACGAAAAAAGAAAGACGGGAATGATTGGAAACGAAAGAAATACAGAGATTGATTAAAACGAAAAAAAAGAGAAAAGGGAAGAAAGAAGTAGAAAAGGAATGATTGAGACGAAAGAAAACAGAGAAAAAAAAAGAAAAAAAAAAGGAATGATTGAAACGAAAAGTAGAAAGACGTGGAATGATTGAAACGAAAAGAAATACAGAGACAAGGAATGATTAAAACGTAAAAAAAATAGAGAAAAAGGGAATGATTGAAACGAAAAAGTAGAAAAAGACGTGGAATGATTGAGACGAAAGAAATACAGAGACAATGATTAAAACGAAAAAATAGATTAAAAATGAAAAAATAGAGAAAACGGGAATGATTGAAACGAAAGAAAAAAGACTAGGAATGATTAAAAAGAGAGAAAAGGAATGATTGAAACGAAAAAGAAAGACGTGGAAGAGAGACGAAAGGAAATGATTAAAATGAAAAAAAAGAGAAAGAAAAAAGAAAGGAATGATTGAGAAAGAAAAAAGTAGGAAAAAAACGAAAAAATGGAAAAAGGGAATGATTGAAACGAAAGAAAGACGTGGAAGATTGAGACAAGGAAATGATTAAAATGATTAAAACGAAAAAATAGAAAAAGGGAATGATTGAAACGAAAAAGTAGAAAGACGTGGAATGATTGAAACGAAAGAAATACAGAGACAAGGAATGATTAAAACGAAAAAAAAAGAGAAAAAAGGGAAAATGATTGAAACGAAAAAGTAGAAAGACGTGGAATGATTGAAACGAAAGAAATACAGAGACAAGGAATGATTAAAAAAAAAAAAATAGAGAAAAGGGAATGATTGAAACGAAAAGTAAAGAAAGACGTGGAATGATTGAGACGAAAGAAATACAGAGACAAGGAATGATTAAAACGAAAAAAAATAGAAAAAAAGGAATGATTGAAACGAAAAGTAGAAAGACGTGGAATGATTGAGACGAAAGAAATACAGAGACAAGGAATGATTAAAACGAAAAATAGAGAAAAAAATGAAAGAGAAAAAAGAAAATGATTGAAACGAAAGAAAAAGACAAGGAATGAAAAACGAAAAAATAGAGAAAAGGGAATGATTGAAACGAAAAAGTAGAAAGACGTGGAATGATTGAAACGAAAGAAATACAGAGACAAGGATTGATTAAAACGAAAAAAATAGAGAAAAAGGGAATGATTGAAACGAAAAGTAGAAAGAATGGAATGATTGAAACGAAAGAAATACAGAGACTAGGAATGATTAAAAAAAAAAAAATAGAGAAAAAGGGAATGATTGAAACGAAAAAAAAGTAGAAAAAGACGTGGAATGATTGAGACGAAAGAAACGAACAGAGACAAGGAATGATTAAAACGAAAAAAATACAGAAAAAATGAGAGAGAAAAAAGTGATTGAAAAAAGACGAATGATTGAAACGAAAGAAATACAGAAAAGTGAGAAAGACAAAAAAATAGAAAAAGGGAACGATTGAAACGAAAAAATAGAAAGACAAGGAATGATTAAAAAGAAATAAAAATAGAATGATTAAAAGGGAAAAATTGAGAAAACGATTGAAACGAAAAAGTAGAAAGACGTGGAATGATTGAAACGAAAGAAATACAGAGACTAGGAATGATTAAAACGAAAAATAGAGAGAAAAGGGAATGATTGAAACGAAAAAGTAGAAAGACGTGGAATGATTGAAAACGAAAGAAATACAGAGACAAGGAATGATTAAAACGAAAAAAAGAGAAAAAGGGAATGATTGAAACGAAAAAGTAGAAAGACGTGGAATGATTGAGACGAAAGAAAAAGACAAGGAATGATTAAAACGAAAAAATAGAGAAAAAGGGAATGATTGAAACGAAAAAGTAGAAAGACGTGGAATGATTGAAACGAAAGAAATACAGAGACTAGGAATGATTAAAACGAAAAAAATAGAGAAAAAGGGAATGATTGAAACGAAAAAAGTAGAAAGACGTGGAATGATTGAGACGAAAGAAATACAGAGACAAGGAATGATTAAAACGAAAAAAAAAAATAGAGAAAAGGAATGATTGAAACGAAAAAAGTAGAAAGACGTGGAATGATTGAGACGAAAGAAATACAGAGACAAGGAATGATTAAAACGAAAAAATAGAGAAAAGGGAATGATTGAAACGAAAAGTAGAAAGACGTGGAATGATTGAGACGAAAGAAATACAGAGACAAGGAATGATTAAAACGAAAAAATAGAGAAAAAGGGAATGAAAACGAAAAGTAGAAAACGTGGAATGAAAAGAAAGAAATACAGAGACAAGGAATGATTAAAACGAAAAAAATAGAGAAAAAGGAATGAAATTGAACAGAGAGAAAGAGGAATGATTGAGACGAAAAGAGACAAGGAAATAAAACGAGAAAAAGGGAATGATTGAAACGAAAAGTAGAAAGACGTGGAATGATTGAGACGAAAGAAATACAGAGACAAGGAATGATTAAAACGAAAAAAAAGAGAAAAAAGGGAATGATTGAAACGAAAAAAGTAGAAAGACGTGGAACGAAAGAAATACAGAGAGACAAGGAATGATTAAAAACGAAAAAAAAGAGAAAAGGGAATGATTGAAACGAAAAAGAAAAGAATGGAATGATTGAAACGAAAGAAAACAGAGACAAGGAATGATTAAAACGAAAAAATAGAGAAAAAGGGAATGATTGAAACGAAAAGTAGAAAGACGTGGAATGATTGAGAACGAAAGAAATACAGAGACAAGGAATGATTAAAACGAAAAAATAGAGAAAAAGGGAATGATTGAAACGAAAAAGTAGAAAGACGTGGAATGATTGAGACGAAAGAAATACAGAGACAAGGAATGATTAAAACGAAAAAATAGAGAAAAGGGAATGATTGAAACGAAAAAAGTAGAAAGACGTGGAATGATTGAGACGAAAGAAACACAGAGACAAGGAATGATTAAAACGAAAAAATAGAGAAAAAGGGAATGATTGAAACGAAAAAAGTAGAAAGACGTGGAATGATTGAGACGAAAGAAATACAGAGACAAGGAATGATTAAAGAAAAAAATAGAGAAAAAGGAATGATTAAAACGAAAAGTAGAAAATGGAATGAAACGAAAGAAATACAGAGACAAGGAATGATTAAAACGAAAAAAATAGAAAAAAAGGGAATGATTGAAACGAAAAGTAGAAAGACGTGGAATGATTGAGACGAAAGAAATACAGAGACAAGGAATGATTAAAACGAAAAATAGAGAAAAGGAATGGATTGAAACGAAAAGTAGAAAGACGTGGAATGATTGAGACGAAAAGAAATACAGAGACAAGGAATGATTAAAACGAAAAAAATAGAAAAAAGGAATGATTGAAACGAAAAAAGTAGAAAGACGTGGAATGATTGAGACGAAAGAAATACAGAGACAAGGAATGATTAAAACGAAAAAAATAGAGAAAAAGGGAATGATTGAAACGAAAAAGTAGAAAGACGTGGAATGATTGAGACGAAAGAAATACAGAGACTAGGGAATGATTAAAACGAAAAAAAAATAGAGAAAAGGGAATGATTGAAACGAAAAAGTAGAAAGACGTGGAATGATTGAGACGAAAGAAATACAGAGACTAGGGAATGATTAAAAAACGAAAAAAATAGAGAAAAGGAATGATTGAAACGAAAAGAAGAAAGACGTGGAATGATTGAGACGAAAGAAATACAGAGACAAGGAATGATTAAAACGAAAAAATAGAGAAAAAGGAATGATTGAAACGAAAAGTAGAAAGACGTGGAATGATTGAGACGAAAGAAATACAGAGACAAGGAATGATAAAAACGAAAAAAATAGAGAAAAAGGGAATGATTGAAACGAAAAAGTAGAAAGACGTGGAATGATTGAGACGAAAGAAATACAGAGACAAGGAATGATTAAAAAACTAAAAAAAATAGAAAAAAAAGGAAATGATTGAAACGAAAAGTAGAAAGACGTGGAATGATTGAGACGAAAGAAATACAGAGACAAAAGAAAACAGAGAATGGGAATGATTAGAAAAACGAAAAAATACAGAGACAAAATGATTAAAAACGAAAAATAGAGAAAAAGGGAATGATTGAAACGAAAAGTAGAAAGACGTGGAATGATTGAGACGAAAGAAATACAGAGACTAGGAATGATTAAAACGAAAAAAATAGAGAAAAAGGGAATGATTGAAACGAAAAAGTAGAAAGACGTGGAATGATTGAGACGAAAGAAATACAGAGACAAGGAATGATTAAAACGAAAAAATAGAGAAAAGGGAAATGATTGAAACGAAAAAGTAGAAAAGACGTGGAATGATTGAAACGAAATAAATACAGAATGATTAAAACGAAAAAATAGAAAAAGGAATGATTAAAACGAAAAAATAGAAAAAAAAAAGGGAATGATTGAAACGAAAACAGAGACAAGGAAGAAAGACGAAAAAAAATGGAATGATTGAAACGAAAAAGAAAATACAGAGAGACGAAAGAAATACAGGAATGATTAAAACGAAAAAAATAGAGAAAAGGGAATGATTGAAACGAAAAAAAGTAGAAAGACGTGGAATGATTGAAACGAAAAATACAGAGACAAGGAATGAATGATTAAAACGAAAAAATAGAGAAAAGGGAATGATTGAAACGAAAAAAGTAGAAAGACGTGGAATGATTGAAACGAAAGAAATACAGAGACAGGAAAAAAAAAAAAGGAATGATTAAAACGAAAAAATAGAAAAAAGACTAGGAATGATTGGAAAAATAGAAAAGACGTGGAATGATTGAAACGAAAAGAAATAGAGAGAAAAGGAATGATTAAAACGAAAAAAGAAAAGAAAATGGAATGATTGAAACGAAAGAAAAGAAAAGGATTAAAACGAAAAAATTGAAACGAAAGAAATAAAGAGACTGAAGAATGATTAAAACGAAAAAATACAGAGACAAGGAATGATTAAAAACGAAAAAAATGATTGAAAGAAAAAGTAGAAAGACATGGAATGATTGAAAACGAAAAAAATAGAAGACTGGGAATGATTAAAACGAAAAAAAAGAAAAAAAAGGGAAATGATTGAAACGAAAGAAAGAAAATGACGTGGAATGATTGAAACGAAAGAAATACAGAGACTGAGAATAAATGAAACGAAAACAGAAAAACGAACTGATTGAAACGAAAAAGTAGAAAGAGAATGATTAAAACGAAAAAAAAGGCAGGCGAAAACCGTAAAATTTTTGAAACAGAAAATATTGAATTCTTTGAAAAAGGACGTGGAATGATTGAAACGAAAGAAATAGCAGAACAGAGAATTTTTTAAAACGAAAAACACAGAGACGTTTAAAGATAAATGTTGGGATTGAAACAAAAAGAAATACAGAGACCGGGGATCACTGAAACGAGCAACAGAAAAATTGACATTTTATCAGGTTTCATTGGGGAAAGAGACAGAGCCATTAAATAGAAAGATAGAAAACGAGGTATCCGTAAAATTTACACAATCGGTTAGTTTTTAGTATTCAATTCTTTTGAATATTTCTAGCAGATGGTTCGCTGGAAACCGATTAATAGCAAACCCTTCAGCACCTTCCTCAGTATCCTTCATTTTTTATTCTATTTCATGTGTTTGCTTCTTATCAGATATCATTTTTTTACTGGAGTTAGAGTGACAGCAATTATTCCCAAATATCCAGCACCTTCCTCAGTATCCTTCCTGTTAGTATCTGTCATGCATATGTATATTCACCTGAAATATCAGGTATTCATTGGGGATAGAGTGACAGCATCTCTCCTCAAATCTCCAGCACCTTTCTCAGTATCCTGCATTTTATCGCATTTCATGATTTGCCTGTTCACTTCAGATGTTGGTTTTTCACTTGGAATAGAGTGACAGCATCTCTCCTCAAATCTCCAGCACCTTTCTCAGTATCCTGCATTTTTATCGCATTTCATGATTTGCCTGTTCACATCAGATGTTGCATTTTTTTCACTTGGAATAGAGTGACAGCATCTCTCCTCAAATCTCCAGCACCTTTCTCAGTATCCTGCATTTTTATCGCATTTCATGATTTGCCTGTTCACATCAGATGTTGGTTTTTCACTTGGAATAGAGTGACAGCATCTCTCCTCAAATCTCCAGCACCTTTCTCAGTATCCTGCATTTTTATCGCATTTCATGATTTGCCTGTTCACATCAGATGTTGGTTTTCACTTGGAATAGAGTGACAGCATCTCTCCTCAAATCTCCAGCACCTTTCTCAGTATCTTGCATTTTTATCGCATTTCATGATTTGCCTGTTCACATCAGATGTTGGTTTTTCACTTGGAATAGAGTGACAGCATCTCTCCTCAAATCTCCAGCACCTTTCTCAGTATCCTGCATTTTTATCGCATTTCATGATTTGCCTGTTCACATCAGATGTTGGTTTTTCACTTGGAATAGAGTGACAGCATCTCTCCTCAAATCTCCAGCACCTTACTCAGTATCGTTATTTTAAAATCATATTTTGCATATTTGTATATTTCCAATAAATATCTAATATCTAATCGTTATTATTTCAAATCCCCAGCGTATTCTACAGCATTTGCATGTTCCCATCAAATATCACAACAAATTGTACAATTGCCAGTGTATTCAAATCGTCACCATGTGCTCTAATTAATATGGGCATGACTGTAGCTTTCTAGTAATGTCTTCAGTTGTCTGGTGATGTTCTCGTATATTTTTAATTTTTCTTTCCTTCGTTCATCTGTATTACGTCTTCCGAAAATGAACTGATATCTTATATTTAGGGTTCGACATGACTCATGCCTTCGTCATTATCAAGCCTGATCTGTTTACAATAATTTTTGCCCTCAAGGTCGTTACATTTGCTGGTGAAATCTATCCGTTGTTGGTATTTGCTGACTGATCAATTTTTCTTGTTGCTGGGGAGGGGTCCACGGGAAGAATTAAGGGTCGCTGAGAGAAATGATCTCAACCAGCCCCTTTTTTTTTTTCACACCAGGAAGTACTGGAATGCGCACAACGTCATCAAGAATGTGCATGATATTAGTAGAGAGAGAGAGAGAGAGAGAGAAAGAGAGAGAGAGAGAGAGGGTAGAAAGACAGAGAGAGGGAGAGATTTCTCCCACCATCCCTTTACCAGATCAATGCTTTGATGAAGTCTTCGCAACATTCGAAACGTCATTGTTCATCTTAACTGTGGCTTGAATTTTAAAAACCTGAAATAAGGACATACTGGTTATTCCAGTTATATATATATATATATATATATATATATATATATATATATATATATATATTATTTATATTATATATATATATATATATATATATATATATATATATATATATAAATAATATAATTTATATATATATATATATATATATATATATATATATATATATATATATATGTATGTATATAAATAAAAGAAAGAACAGCAAGATATATAATCCGGTGTTCTTATACATATTTTTATTTTTACAAAATAGTGCTCAATGTTCACCCCTGTCTAGAAAAATAGATTCATCTGTAACATTGGAAACATGAATTTTGTTTTAGCTGTGTATTTAAAATCCAGTAATTTTAAAAAGTTACTCCAAAATTCGCTTGAGGATGAAATGGAACTAATGTCTTTAATTTAATCACAAAATTAAATTCGGGGCTTTTTAGCTTCCATTTTTGAAACATGGTTAGAACTGCGTAGCGAAAAAAAACATATTTTAAATCAATTAATTTATATATATATATATATATATATATATATATATATATATATATATATATATATATAAATAATATTATCATAGTAAAGCATGTCTTTTTTTTTTTGATGCGATCGTTCTATTTCTGCAAATTGACTAAATAAAAAGGAATATTGATAGTATTTCATTACCCCACCACCAGCGTTGCCCCGACTACATGAATGTAAGCGCGCTACTGGATTGGCACTTAGGTCCCACCTTTTTACTGTTGAAAGAGCTAAATGCAACCGCTACTTCTACTCCAAGAGTTTCTTTTCTCGCACTTCCCACCTGTGGAACTCCCTTCCGTTTACTTGCTTCCCAGATAACTACAATCTTCAAAAATTTAAATGCGACGTCAATCGCCGTCTTCTGGTGACTTGAATCCCGTTCATCTTATGTCTTTTCCTCAATCCTCCCTGTTCTCCGCCTTGCTTGGGTTGAAATGATTTAAAAAAAAATAACAGTGAATATAACAAACTAGGTTGAATGTGGATGCCGTATATTACAGGTCAAATTAGAAACTTAGCCAGTCTCCACAACCACTTTTATGCTGGGGTCGGGGGCCCACAACTCTGCTTCGGGGTTGGAATCTCCTGGGCAAGGCTTCCCTCATCACTTGAGCGATAACTACACTTTCATTCTCCGTACGAAGAGCGGAAAGGGGATTCTGATTCTCTAGTTACCGTCCTCCCACCAGCGGTATTTACTTATCTCCTCACAAGGGTAGGATGTGATACCCTTTAATGTGAGTGTCTATGCGTATAGATATGTGACAAGGACCAAAAAATATCCAGACCCCGCAACTACTGCCTCGATTCAGTGGAATGAGGACGGTGCGCCGAAGGGTTAGAATCCTCGAGACCAGACGTCCCAGATAAATTGAAGATGAATAGAGAACAGATACTACACCTTGATCCTAGCCCGAAAGCCTGGAAAAAGCGGTTTGAGGATATTCACCAACCGAACCATGCGATCGGATGTGGCACAAGGCCGAGTTTATTGTCGGGTATCCGAGCGCGTAGTCTCGGGCAAAAATATCCCCGTAGACCCCGTAAAAACGGTGTCGGGTAGCTGTCTACCACCCCAGACAAGACTCTGTCCTTTAGCATCGCCTCGTCTGAATTCCTCTCTACACAGAGGCAGAGAGTTTGACAAGGACATTACCGAAGTAATCCGGATAGCGAAAAAGCGGTTTGATCCGCTGTTTACCCACATCCGCACGATGGGATGAAGATACTCTAAGTTTTATGTGGATAGTCAAGGACAATAACTACCTCGGTCTCGTATCCACTAACCGCTCTACTTCAGTGCAATGACGAAGGTACAGTTGTAGGGTTGAAATCCCAAGGACCAAGCTCCCCTCAGAACTTTAAGACGAAGAAAGAACATTTTTATCCCTGCTCCTATGCTCTATTCATCTTCCGGCCTCCTACGGTGGCTGAATGTGACACAAGGTCCGTTTAATATGGGGTGCCTAAATTAGCAAATATGGGCCAAGGATAAAAATTGCCTAACCTCTACGATCAGTATCACACGGATATTGGTATTCGCCAACTTCCCCTTTTTATTACAATGTAGAAGTTGCTAAGACAGGGTTCGAATCCCCGGGACTACGTTCACTCATAAGAGAGAACATACTTTAGTCCAAACTATTAGCGAAACCGTAATTTGAACCTCTGGTGTATTTTTTGACAATGTTGTTCACACTGTACAAGGCCCAACAGCCATTAGAGGATGATGCTTGCACCGTAAAAGGCACCACTCCAAGAAAGGTGATAAAGCCACTGAGGCGCAAGGGGGTGGGGGCTGTAAGTAAGAAGAGGAGGCTTTAAAAGGAATAATTACAAGTAATAGTGTCATCACCTTATCAGGTTTTAGCTTATTATGTTGTTTTATGGAAGAAAAAACCCAAGAGCACATTAACGAAGAAGTCTAGCTTTCCATTATTACTGTGTGGTGAATTAGATTCTCATTGGATGTTAGTGAATATCCTCAAACCGCTTTTTCCAGGCTTTCGGGCTAGATTATATGAACACAAAGTGGACCTTTTTATAAATCAAACATTCACTCCATTATTAGTTTACCATAATTTTCATTTATAAATACTACTTTAATTAAAAGAGACAGTCTATAAAATGTGATTTAATTGTTAGATCATCAACAGCAAATTTGCATCCCGGGTCTTACAACGTTACCCCTTTCTCGGCAGATCTTTTATTATCCCATTGTGGGATGCATAATAACAAAAGGGATTGTCGAACAATCGTGGTCAAGATAAACACTCAGTTGTAGAGCAAGCTGAGTGAATACTAATTCAACATTGAGACAGAGAGCTATTTATGGTGCAATGGAGCATCTCATTATGCTAAAGTGGGATAGTCCATTGCTTCGGCTGTGATTGGCTGCTGGTATCTGAGTGGAAGTATTACTATATAAATACTAGCATGATTTCTCAGTTAGTTTGCAGGGTTTGCATTAAGTTTAACCCCCGTGTTTGTTTTTGGTGTACGTTAGTCAAGCGAGCGAGCAAAAGTTTTGGAAATTGCTACGATTTGTTAAGTTTTTGGTTTTATTTTTTATAAACCTTTTCTTTTATTTTTCAGTTTGACTTTTATTTGATTTTTTTGCTGTTTTTTGTTTTTTTTTTTGTTTTTGTTGATTTCTCTTCTTACCTTTTTTTCCCCCTCCTCACCGTTTTTTGTTTTCATTCCGTATTTATTATTTGAACTGTTTTTTGTTTTGGTTATCCCTGTTTTTTTCTTTTCGTTTTATTCTGTTCATGTAAAAAAAACTTAAAAAGGAAACAAATCTGTTTTGTTCGGCGTGGTGGGCCGAAAAAACCCATCATGGCCGAAAAAACAAGAAAAAATAATACACCGCTCCCGGACACGGTGTCTCCCTGAAAAACGGCCTGGTCTAAAAAATAGGCCAAAAAAGATCCGGAGTTCTACAGAGAGCAAAGAAAAAACTTTGAAAACTCGTTCAATGGTAATGAGTTTTTGACCATTAAGGAGGTGTTTGATGCCATGAGCACCCGCATTATTTCCCTGTTGACAGCCGACGTCAAAACGCGGAAATTGATTGGAGTCAGCAGGGAAAACATGGAAGAGGCATTGAAAGCCTTAAGTATAAGCCCCAAAGTTCTAGCAAGAAGATCAAATGCCCTTTGGGATATCTTACTGGCAACAGAACAGCAAGCGAAGGAACTAGCAGGCAGTATCCTGATATCCAAAAACCTGCGCCTGCAAACCGAGTACATGGGTACTCGGAGAACTAAAGTAACCATCCATGGAGTGCCGGTAGACATCCCGGAAGACAGGATGGGGCCTTCTTTTTCAAATATGGAGATGTTCACGAAGTGAAGCCCTCGCAAGTAAATGTGGGATTGCTACAGGTGACATGGGTTGCAAATCACGGTAAACCAGGAAAATTTTCGTGATATACCCAATGTCCTGGTGTGCCGAAATAAAGGATGTTGGTAATAGTTGAGGGCAGGCGACCATTCTGCTGGTCATGCGGCGTTTTGGGGCACATGGCCAAAGAGTGCCCTGGGAAGAAACCAAGTCAACCATCCGCCTCAGCAACAACAGCAGCGACAGTGGTGGCGAAACCAACAGCAACGGGGCAAGTTCTAAACCTGTGGAGGCCAAACCAGTGGATGGAACCTGGAAGGAGGTGGTGAGGGGTCGAAAATCCCCCAGTAGTCAGATCCCCAGGAGGCACCCCATCCTAAAAAGCCCCAAGAAGAGAAGCCCCAAGAAGAGAAGCTGCCACAAAAGGAGGTTCAGTCTCCAAAAGAAGCAGAAAAGGGAAACAGTCTGACAAGAAGCAAACAAACAGCATAATAAAAAAGCGAACAGAAACAGCAGCAACACCAATCCCAACAGCGGGAACAGCAGCAACACCAACCCCAACAGCAGGAACAGCAGCAACCCAAACAACAGGAACAAGAGCAACAGATGGAGGTGGAACAAACGCCGCCACCTCGGGCTACATCCCTCAAGAGGTCTAGGGAGGAAGACGAGAGAAACCTCCCAAAGGCAGAAACGACCAGGGTAGGGTGGAGAAGGTCATGGAGAGATCCAGGGCAGTCTCCATCCCTGCTTCGTTTGATGATGCTGGGGGAGGCCAAAGAAGCAACAAGAATCAGGCGGCATTCTTCTTCCCGTCCTGTTTTATCCCCTCCTCCTCCACTTCTCCCTTAACAGTTTCCACCCCTCCTCTCATCCACTTCTTCCCTCCTCATCCATCAAGGCTAAAGAAAAAAAAAGAAAAAGATTTTTGCAAATTTTGAAGAGATTTGTAAAGTAGATAGAGAGGCGTACAAAAAAACATCTCTCCAAACAGAGAAAAAGCCCTTCTAGGCGTACTTTATAAAATGGAG